GCAATACTACACCTGAGACAGCACTTAGTGTGACATGTTCCGCCATGTTGGGGTGGTTCACGCCTGGTGGCTCAAAAGAGTGTGCAGGTTAACTTTATCTGGGTGCATTACTACACTGTTGTAATGTAGGTCCCACTGAGCTGAAGTTTCTCAAAATTTTGAACGAGTGACCAAAGTGGAAAAAATAGTTAACAGAACTAGTCCTGTTGTAAATCTGTAAACAGCTAGAAAAAAGGAAACAGTAAAATAAAATAACTAATACATAGTAGAAGCAGGTACGTAATAGAGAAAGAACCCTTAATTACTAGTTCTGTGGCCACTGTGTGTTAATGTGCTAGGTATATTGACAGCAACATAGCTAGGATATTATGGACCTAAAGAAGTTGTTGCTCTCAGGGCATGTGACTCCACCCACTAGCATTAAACTTCATGTTGCACTACCTGTTTGGATCACAATAATCATATTTAGCTGTCTGTCAGACCACCAGCCAAATAATAAGATGATACAGATTCCTGAAAACATTTTGCGCATAATACATAGTTTCATAAATACATATTTTGATATTATTTGAATTAAATCAATTTGATTATTTGGTTATATGAGAAATCACAGTCATAAATAATGAATATATCATGTCGCAGGTGTTAAACATTGTAAACACTCACTATCTGAAAATGGTTGCATAGATGTCATAATAAGAGGAAGATACATAGATGCCAGGCTGTCTATGAAGTGTTGATAGAAGCTACGAAGTTACGAAACTGGATCTTTTCTGAGTCATAGGTGTACAGTTGTATCTATGTGAGGGGCCAAGTAAACATTTTAGGGGCCTGGTCCCCTGATTCAAACACTTCAGATGAAGTTAGATTCTTATTCACATTTTCTGTTCCACCTTAAATGGTGAAGCAGTTATGTTCTGGTGCATTTAAGATGGTCGCAGCAAGGCATTTTCATAATTCCAATGTTGTTAGTACGAAAAAGAATTCCAAAATGTTACTGGCCCAGCAAAAATTCTCCAGCATCTTGTATTCCCTTGATTGAGCAAATCTGTTAACTAGAGCACATGTGTAACGTATAGAGTATAAAGCACACATAGGTGTTGGTGTAACAATGCAGAGAACAGACATTCATACATTCATACATTCATTGTAAGTCATCTCTAGGCACATGAAGCCCTGCTGCTTGAATTCAGGTATGAATTTATATTAATTTACCTAATAGTATTAGGCTTAACATGACAATGTACAATGAATGGTAATTGAAATGTTCTTAATAAGAAAGTAGCACTGTACAAAAGTCCACTGTAGCAAAGAAAATAGTACATGACCAAAGCTGGATGTAAAAGATCTCTTATTATTTTAATACGCACTGTAAAAAATGATTGTGTTTTATCTTAAAAAGTAAGTAAGCTGGTCGCCTTAAAAGTTTGAGTACACTGCTTTTCAAATAATAAAATAACAGAATGTAAAACACTGATTATTTTTCTATTAACTTCCTAATAGAAGTTCAAAATTTTAAAGCAACTAGGTTTCTTATTTTAAGTAAAACACTGAATCATTGTTTACAGTGTGGTGGCTTGAGGGTGGTGCTGCCATCACATTCCCAAGTTCAGAGACTGTTACTGTTCTCCTGGGAGCTGTAAGGGCACTTTAAAAACATGCTCTCTAGCTGCACCAGACAGACAGGTCTGAGGCTGGAAAGCCTAGAGTGAATGCTGTGTATGAGGTGATATATAAAACAAGATCCTTCAGATACAGCACCTCCACATGTTTATTCCCTGCAGGTTCACCCCCACACCACATGCGTAATATAAATGTGTGTGTGTGTGTGTGGTGAACAGTGTGAAGGCACTGAAAATTTTATATGTTCTTCAAAGAAAATGAGCAAAGGCCAAGGAATCTGAGGTTGAAATAATAATAAATCACATCATTTTTTCTTTTGGTAAACATTGAAAATGGGTCCCACAGACCCCAACACCACACAAGGGTTAAGTTACCTGTTTAACATCAAGTTCAACATTTTTTTTGTTCATCCATATTTGTATTTGAGCATGTGTTTCTGAATCCTCACGAGGCCTTCTGGTCAGGGTGAAATTGCCCATCCCCAGGCTGTTTGCCTCAACACATAAAATGCTTTCTGTATAAGTAGTCTGTTGTGTATGTTATGAAATTTATTTTCATGCCAAGGTTTCCCTGGTAGTGTTGGACTTACTATATGGCAGTGGTTTTATTATATAAAAATAAATGCAGCATCTTGCATGAAAGTTAATCACAAAAATATAATAACAATAGAGTCAGACTTTTACCACATTTTGCAGTAGGGATTACATATAGCAGAACACTGTCATCACTAAGCAGTGCTTACAACTAAATTCTTTCTTAATCTATTTTACTGATTTCAAAAAGCTTTCAACAGTGTACACACAGCTTGTAAAATCATTGGCAATAGAATGTGACACTCTTGAGCAGCCACGCCTGAGCCTAAGATCATGCCAAGTGTCGGTTGGAGGGTGTATAAACCCCCAGTATTGGGCGGTAGAGCGCGATTCTCTGGGGCGATGTCAGTGTATTGGAAGAGTACAAAAGCATCTTCAGCAAAAAATGTCTACACTCACTGGCTTTTATATTAGATGTGCACTTTGTAGTTTTACAATTACAGACTGTAGCCCGTCTGTTGCTATGAATTTATCTGCCCCCCTCTTCTAAGCACAGCAAAGTGACTAACATTGCAGAAGCATGGTACTGAGTGTTGCAATGGTACAAGAATATCAGCGACGTCACTGTGAACACTCACTGACCACTTTATTAGACATATTAACTTTGTTGGTACATTTTGTAAGTGTACAGTTTGAGACTATAGCTTTATATCTTTTCCATACACAATTTGTGTTACTTATTCTCTAGCTCTTCATCACTGATTAGAGTCTGACCACAGGACTACTTGTTGACAGACTATTCTCAACCTAACATTAGACTGCATGTAAACATGGCTAATGATCCACTAATAATCCGACTAATAGCTTAACTGAAATAGAATACGTTTATGTATACACCTCAATCAAAATAGACTAGTCCAATTGAGGCCATTCAGAATACATTTTTTATCCGATCAAGCGAGGTGGGTGATCCTGTAAATTATTTGTTAAATAGAAGAATAATAACCATGTAAACGCCTGTATCTGATCATATTCCCAATCGGAAAGTTTAAGTATGTTCTGTGCATGTGCGTTTGTGCGTCTTATAATGTCCAGCTTTGCGGGAGTAGAAACTGGTCTGCAGAGGAGACAACGTTTATGCTCTGATCTTTAAAAGACGGCGGTGGGACGGACGTCCAGCTTATGTGTCTCAGAACACGACGTCTTCCTCTCAGCCTTCTTTAATAAGGACGTGTGAAGGACGTTTTCCTGAGTCTGACATCATTTTAAAGTGATTAAAACACAAGCACTGCTCACTGCTGCTCATCTCACTCTGACTGGACTCACGTGATGCTTGTTGCCATGGTAATGTCTACACTAAGCGATATTCTACGCATGCACGTAATTTTGGATCTAATTACTTGTAGTGTGCATGTAAATGGATATTTTTTCAAGATTGTTGAGTAGAGTGAGCACATAAACACCTCAGTCTTAACCTATAATCGGAATGTATTCAACCGGATTGGAAAATATCCAAGCGATGCCACTATACCTGATACACAGACAATAAATGATCAGAGTATTCTAGAAAAATAGGTGCAGAACTGGCCCTTCTTGTTCATGTTTTCCATGTCCCTTGCCCTGTGTTAACTGGTGCTGTGAATTTTCATGTTTCCTGTGCTAAATACAAGTCACGTTTTAACCTGGGGTTGTATACTGTATGCCTGCAGATGTCATCCCCACCTGACTGAATTAGGCAATTAAAAAAACAACAACAAAACAGAATGGCTTTCAAAATATTTGATAATCCAGCAGTGAAATATCATACAGGTAGAAAGAACATAATGGTTGTGAATTGTTTATCCAAAGTAATATCTCTGTATATTCATTAGAAATGGGAAAACATGTTTATCACTGCTGCCATTCTGGTTATATCTAGAAAAATAAAAGCTGTTTGCAAACTAGAAATCATTATAGGGCAAGGAGTGAGTATCTTCCTTGTTTCTGTTATTGATCCATTAGAGCAATTAATAAATCCTTATAATTTAAGTCACACTGCCATCTGCTGACCACAAAGTGGGATCTTTACAGTCTTTTTATTAACAGAAGAATGGGACTAAATGACTGACACTGGTGTAGAGGTAAGCCTTTGAGTTGGACAAAAATAAGCCAAATAAGAAGCTATGACAAAAGCATGACTAAGGTTTATGACCCATTAATCCCAACGGGTGCTAGAAAAAATATCATTGGTTATCATATCCACTGAGAACTACTCTCAATGCTCCTGACCCAACATTAATAACAGTGTTGTTCAGCACTGAGAAAATAAACACTGTTTGCTGTGTCTGAAGACAGTAAAGTGCCTTATAAAGACAACTTTATTGCAAGTCCACTTGGACTCATCCAACTGAGGCACTATCATATAGTTAGATGCAGGTGAACTTTTTTCTGTTTCTCTTTTAGCAGAAATCTATTAACAAAGACATTTTTAGTTATTAATACTTCCCAAACAGATTGCACTGAACTAATATGCATGTGCTTAAGTGGCTTGAAGGACAAGGCAGATATTTTGACTGGGTTTTAGAAGTAACCACAATTGTTCTGTAGTGGCCTTGATGAGCAGTTATTTGCTTCTCTAGCTCTAAAATCATTACTTGGTTAGACTTATGTACATACAACTTTCACTGTTACACTCTACAGGTGTTTTAGAATGGAAATCATAAGGGTTTGTCAGAATATTTACAGCATGCACATGTATGCATTACATTATGCATAAAGTATGTATAATGACATTGCACAGTGATATAATGCATACTATATTTTGTTTGTAGGTGGAGTGATTGAGCAGTGCTGAAGTACAAACTCATGGCTAATGTTACTGAAAACACTCTTGATGCTCTGAACACCATCTTTGTCCTGAGCAGCATGGATCTGTCTCATGAAATTGCCTATGCAACAATTATTATTGCTCTTCCTGCTTATATATTCTCAGTGGTGTGTAATTTGCTAATAATCATAACAGTTGTATCAAACAGGACCTTACATGAGCCAATGTATATACTACTATGCAATCTCTCATTCAGTGACATTGTTGGCATAAGCGCTCTGGTTCCAAGGTCTATTTTTGACGTTATGTTTGACTACGGCCTCATCACTTTCCCAGCCTGCTTCCTTCAAGCCTGGTGCTTGCACACTTATGGTGGAGCTACTTTACTTATCCTATCTGTCATGGCATTTGATCGCTATGTTGCCATTTGTCACCCTTTAAGGTATCACACAATCATGTCCAAAGCTACTCTAATACATCTTATAAGTTCTTCCTGGATCATTGTTTTTGTTCTAGTGGTAATCCTTTTTGGCCTTACCTTACAGCACCCTGTCTGTGGAAACAAGCTTTCATCCTATTACTGTGACAATGTGACTATTTTAAAACTGACCTGTGCTACTGACACTACAGTGAATAACATCTACGGCCTGTTCATAACTGGATTTTTTCATGCTGTTGGTATTTTTTCCATTGTGTTCACCTATGCTTGGATTTTGATAACATGCTGTAAGAGCACTGACTCTGAGTCGAAGTCAAAGGCCTGGCATACCTGTGGCACCCACCTGACTGTCTTTGTTATTTATGAGATTTCAAGCAGTGCTGTTGTGCTGGTTCATAGGTTTCCTAACACACCCCCTGCTCTGCGAAAAATCATGGCATTGGCATATGTGATTATCCCTAACTGTATAAATCCAGTTATTTATGGACTCAAAACAAAGGATGTTAAATCTAAGGTGAAAATTTTCAGGAACAAAATTTTCAGCTTAAATGACCAAAAGCTGTCTAAAATTGAACGCTTGAAGACAATTTCTTCAGTCTGATGTCTGTAAAGTTCTGAGTTTCTCATGAACTGTAAACTGTCAATGAAAGACTTGGCTCCAGGGTCTTGGGCCTATATTGTGTGGTCATGGTGAAACAGCTGTAGAGTATACAAACATATTGTAGTACACATGTGTTACTGTTTAAATGTCTCAGAAGTATACTGATAAAGCACAAGGACAAGGTTGGATCACCCTTTCCAGTACTACCAATATATAATAAAACATATATCAAATTATGTGTAATATATTATTCAAATATTTTCAAAAAATGGTGATAATTAGGGATAATAAAATTGAGTTTATGCACTAATGTAACAATAAATTAAATAAGAACTGTTTAAAGAATTAAAGAAAAGTCTGTGATTTATATTTAAGTCTTCAGTCTCACTTTATTTGGATGGACCCCAGTGGCTTATCTAGACATACCCAAATTGTTAAAGTATGTGTGTCAGGGTTAGGATTAGTATTAAGGTTAGTGTTAGCCTTAAGTTTAGGGTTAGAAAAAAGTTTCATTTAAAGACCCCTCACAGTATCTTATTTATTTCTTAATGTACTTATCAGCATAATTCCAAATTGACAGAGAAATCAATCACATTTTGAATTCCAGGATCAATTTTGTGAGGGAACAAAACATCATTCTAGGCCTTTCGGAAGTTCCAGATACTTCACTGACTGAATAAAAGCATCAGGCTAAACAGTGTGTTGTTAGAAATGCAAAACAGCAGCGGTAGCTCTACGGCAGAGCTCTTTACTAAAAGAGCCACTGTGAAACTGCTATAAGGTAAACTATATGCTAATATGTCTGTTACAAGCTTTAAGTAAAATATGGAATATATTGTAGATGCGTCCGATGTTGGTGTTGAACCTAGATCTGATACAAAATTAACAAAAAATAAAATAAAATTTCATTTTCTGTTCCACCTTAAACAGCACAGCAGTTAGATTCTGGTGCCTAAATGTGTCAGAGTATAACTGCTGCACAATTTGAGGCAGAATGGAAAATCTGAATAAGAAGCAAACTTCAGTCTCATCAGAAAGTGTTCAAGTGCATCACAGTTAGCTTAGCACTAACAAACTACTGCAGTCCTATAGGGGTGCTAGCAGAAGTAGGCATTATCAGTGAGGTGGGTTTTTCCTCATGTTTTGACCACGTTTTGACATTTATGGCCCAGACAGAAGGCTTAGCTCTAATAGTCACAGTTTACCACTGCTGACCAGGTAGTTGTTAATTTGGTCCTGGCAACCAGCTTTAATACTGACAGAAGTACTGATTGTCCTGAGCAAAAGAGACATGTAGAACTGTAAGACAAAGTGTCTTAACCAATTAATGGATTGGGAAAACAGCTACTAACAGCCAGTTGGCTGTGCTGCATGCTCAATTTCCTTGTCTCTGTATTCTAACGTCCCTATGTCCCTCTATATGGTGCTGGACACTGAGGCCTGCTCAAAGCTAACTCCTAGTGCTAAAGTGGTCTCTGACAGAAAAGTTCCAGTGGGGATAAAAGTTGAGGGGGGTTAATTAATTTTGTAGATGGACTACAGCCTGGGGTGTAAAGATTACTGAGCATTCCTACCTTAGTAAGAGTGCTGCTACTTTAGTGAGAATTACTTAAGTTCAAGTAAAGGTAATAATTACTGGAGTAAAAGTAAACAAGCTGTTCGTTGGGAACCTACTGGGAGTAATTGAGTGACTTTTTTGTGTCTCTGCAATCACAGTCCGAATATACGTCTGACTTGACTTGCTAGATCTTTGGGAATAATCTGTACAAACATAACTACACCAATCAGGCATAAGATTATGACCACCTCTTTGTTTTTACACTCATTGTCCATTTTATCAGCTCCACTTACTATATAGGTGCACTTTGTAGTTCTACAGTTACAGACTGTAGTCCATCTGTTTCTCTGCATACTTTGTTAGCCCCCTTTTACCCTGTTCTTCAGTGGTCAGGACCCTCATGGGCCCTCACAGAGCAGGTACTATTTGGGTGGTGAATCATTCTCAGCACTGCAGTAACACTGATGTGATGATGGTGTGTTAGTGTGTGTTGCGCTGGTACAAGTGGATCAGACACAGCAGTGCTGCTGGAGTTTTTAAACACCTCAGTGTCACTGCTGGACTGAGAATAGTCCACCAACCCAAAATATCCAGCCAACAGCGTCCTGTGACCACTGATGAAGGATGGAAGATGACCAACACAAACCGTGCAGCAGCAGATGAGCTATCGTCTCTGACTTTACATCTACAAAGTGGACTGACAAGGTAGGAATGTCTAATAGAGTGGACAGTGAGTGGACACAGTGTTTAAAAACTCCAGCAGCAGTGCTGTGTCTGATCCACTCGTTCCAGCACAACACACACTAACACTCCACCACCATGTCAGTGTTACTGCAGTGCTGAGAATGATCCACCATCCAAATAGTACCTGCTCTGTGAGGGTCCATGGGGGTCCTGACCACTGAAGAACAGGGTAAAAGGGGGCTAACAAAGTATGCAGAGAAACAGATGGACTACAGTCTGTAATTGTAAAACTACTAAGTGCACCTATATAGTAAGGAGCTGAAAAAAGGACACAGTGTAGAAACAAGGAGGTGGTCATAATCTTATTGGTGTGTGTATACGTATATGGATCTGTCTCATGAAATTGCCTGTGTAATAATCATTATTGCTCTTCCTGCTTATATATTCTCAGTGGTGTGTAATTTGCTTCTAATTGGAACAATTGTATCAAACAGGACCTTACATGAGCCAATGTATATACTACTATGCAATCTCTCATTCAATGACATTGTTGGCATAAGCGCTCTGGTTCCAAGGACTATTTTTGACATTATGTTTGACTACGGCTTCATCACTTTCCCAGCCTGCTTCCTTCAAGCCTGGTGCTTGCACACTTATGGTGGAGCTACCGTACTTATCCTATCTGTCATGGCATTTGATCGCTATGTTGCCATTTGTCACCCTTTAAGGTATCACACAATCATGTCCAAAGCTACTCTAATACATCTTATAAGTTCTTCCTGGATCATTGTTTTTGTTCTAGTGGTAATCCTTTTTGGCCTTACCTTACAGCACCCTGTCTGTGGAAACAAGCTTTCATCCTATTACTGTGACAATATGACTATTTTAAAATTGACCTGTGCTACTGACACTACAGTGAGTAACATCTACGGCCCGTTCCTAGCTGGATTTCTTCAAGCTGTTTCTCTTTTTTCTATAGTGTTCACCTATACACTGATTTTGATAACATGCTGTAAGAGTAATAACTCTGAGTCGAAGTCAAAGGCCTGGCATACCTGTGGCACCCACCTGACTGTCTTTGTTATTCATGAGATTTCAAGTGTTGCTCTTGTTCTGTTTCATAGATTTCCAAACATGCCAAACATTGTTCCAAAAGTCCTGGAACTGGAATACGTGATTCTCCCCAACTGTATAAATCCAGTTATTTATGGACTCAAAACAAAAGACATTAGAGTTAAGGTGAAAAATTTCAGGGACACAATAATCGGCTTGAATAACCTAAAAAGGTCTAAGCACAAATTTGTAAAGGCTATTTCTTCACTTTAATGTTCAGAAACCAAATTTTAGTCATAAGCCAAATTTTTGATTTGCTAAATGAAAATACGTGATGAATACATTTGCATTTTGTAATCTTATGAATCACTTTGTAAAATCTTATGAACTTTTATTTAATGGCTGCTCTCTTAGTTGACCTTATCCAGAGTATATAATTATGTTGTAGGAAATACTGTTCAAGGTCGATGACCACCCCTTTATAATTGCTGTGTAAATATGTTATTGATGTCTTTGATATTAATATGCTACTTTAAAAATATAGTAGAGGAAAACATAGATAAATAAAAATAGTGCCTTCTAAAGTCTAACTTTAGTTGCTATTAACCATCATTTACCCCAGAAATTACACCAGCAGTTAATGGCTATTAAATTTAGCAAGTACTTATCTGACAAAGTAGAAACTAAATGTTTAGTTTTTAGTAGAAACAAACAAAGTAGAAACAAAATGCTCACATGACACAGCCCTGTTGGTGTGTATAGCACTTTTAAATACCTAAAGTATGTAATTCATATATAACTTTACACATAACACTTAATAATAAAAGAGCCTCACATTTCTTCAGGCATTTATACTGCAGTAAAAGGAACAGAGCATAAATCTTAAAATGAAATGATCTTTCCTTCTGAAAATATAGAATGATAGAAAAATGTGATGTCTTAAATTATTCCCTGTACAATGTGTGATAAACATAAAGGACAAAAAAGATTCTGAATTTCACTCTGAATTAAACTCACAAACAGAACCTTCAGAAGTCCTGCAAACTAATTTCTAAATAATTTTTTTTGGAGTAAAAAATTAAAAGTATTGAAAATTATTTAAATATTAAACAAATTCTTAAGTATTTAAAGAATGTAATATGACACACTGGCCACCATGAGCATCTAAAGCTGGTTAATAGTTTGCCCAGAAGAGGGAGACATTTCTCTTCTCACAGAGATAAATGGAGCTTTTCAGTTTTTTAGCCTTTCTCCAAGAATTTACAGGCAACTAAAGGAAACAACAATCTCTAAATAGAGAAGCTGTAGTTATGACTTCATTCTCTGCCTGAAAATACAGTACATGTACAGACAAATTGTATTATGTGGTGTTATTTGTATAATGTTCTATTCCTCATCTTGACCCATAAACAAGCATCTAAACTAAAGAAGGAATTGTAAAATAGCTCAAAGTAAACTGGATCAAGCTATGAGCACACAGACAGTGTCTTTAAAGGCTTTTTAAACCTATAAATGGTTTGTTAACCTTTTGTGGATGAGAGTTTAGCCTAATCTCAAACTCTATTGCAATGCCAGTGTTTCACTATACAAAGTCCCATTTACTTTAGGCTTATACTTAATCTTGGTCTAGGAATCTGACCCTAAATGTCTTAACCTAAAAACAACCTATATACAGGTTTCCACCTACCAGATTGAGCTGCATTTCCTACTATACATGTCTGTATTCATTTCTAATATGAAAATATCTTCCTTAAACCAGTTTTCTCATTAATTATCTGACAAGCATTAGGTATGGATTGATACCATCAAACATCCATAGAACATAGCTCTGTTTTTGGGGAATAGCACTTTTACATGGCTGAATTATGTAACTATGATTCAGTTAAAAATAAAATGATATAACTGAATCATATATCGCGGTTGTCGGAAGAAAACCTTGTATCTTCATTTTTGACATCTTTCTGTTTTTGACATAACTTGAAAATACTTGTTACACTTTACATTGTATGTAAATTTCATGATGAATGGACTAAAAGAAATCACCCAAAATAACTTGGAAAAAAGTCTGGTTCCATTGACTTACATTAGAAGTAAAGTAGGTTATATATATATATATATATATATATATATATATATATATATATATATATATATATATATATATACTAGTACACAGTTTATATATATACTACTTTATTAGAAATAATCTCAGTTTAAAGTAAAAGTACTGTGATTTTAATTCTACTCAAAGTACAGTTAAGTGTACTCAAGTACAGTAATGAAAGTAGGTGTAATTTGCATTTTTTCACCTCTGACCACAGTCAATTCCTATTTACCGACTAAGTGCCCCAACATGATGGGTGTACCTGATTAAATGGGCAATGACTGTAGAAACAAGCTAGATATTAGTCATAAACTACATAAAGTGTGTTTTATGTAAAGGGTGAGCTTTGTCCATAATATCCAGAAGTCTGAGCAACATCTTTCACTATCTCACGTTCTCAAAGGAGTCAATCTCCAACCACCTAATTGCGGCTGCTTTAGTAATGATGATGCTGTTCATACTGTTGATACATACGTACGACAGACATTAAAGGATCAGAGTCATGTAGAAGAATAGATGGCTCTGGCCTTTCTTGTACAAAGTTTCCATGTTCCTTGCTCTGTGTTCACTGACGCAGTGAATGTTCATGTTTACTGCGCTAAATACAAGTCACTTTTCAATCTGGGGATCAAAGTGGCAGTAGTGGCTGTAGAGGTCACCCTTGCCTGAATGTATACTCCTCACATGACTGCACTGGGCAATAAAAAATAGCAAAATAGAAGAAGAAAGAAAACTAGCTTTCAAAATATTTCATAATCCAGCAATGACATATGGTACATCTAGAAAAATACCAATTTGTAGAAAGAATATCACAGTTGCAAATTATGTATCTAAAGTTCTATGAGAAGGAGCAGCCATTCAGCAGTCTGAGCATTTAGTAGCTATTTGGCAAGTAACCACTGCCATGTGGTGGCAATGGTATGTAGTGCGAGTCAAATGTAACCACTGTATATTTGCTGTAAATAGGAGACCATACTTGTTATCATTGCTGGAATTTTGGTTATATCCGTAAACATAAACCTAAAACCTTTATAGACCAAAGAGCTTTCCATGTTGTTAAACAGCTATGGTAAAGAACCAGCAGCTCATTTGTTATTCATCCATTAGGAAAATGAATAAAATCTTATAATGTAAACAGTACTGCCATTTGCTGTCCACAAAGTGGAATGTTTAGCCACCCATGTTTTATTTAACAGAAAAAGAATAGGACACTGTCTGACACTGGTGTAGAGGTAGACCTTTAAATTTGCCAATAAACTGCCAAATAAGGAGTTATGACAACAAGCATCACTAAGGTTTATGACCCATTAATCCCAACAGGCACTAGGAAGAATATCATTGGTTATTATATCCATTGAGAATTACTCTCAATGCTCCTGATGCATATTGGAGAATATTAATAACGGTTTCCGGCACTGAGAAAATAAACACAATTTGCTGTGTCTGAAGATACCGAAGGGCCATTTCATGGAGAACTTTACTCCATTTAGACTCATCCAACTAAGGCACTTTTATACAGTTAGATGCAGGTGAACTTTTTTCTGTTCGTTTTTTAGTAGAAATCTATTAACAAAGACATTTTTAGTTATTAATACTTCCCAAACAGATTGCACTGAACTAATGTAAATGTGCTTAAGTGGCTTGGAGGAAAAGGCAGATTTGTTGACATATTGTCAAACTTGAAAAAAGCTTATTTTTAGAAGTAAACGATTGTTCTGCCAAAAATGTAGAGGCCTCAGGATATCAATGACCTAGTTTGGCTTATTTATTATCAATTATTTACTACTTATCGGGTTCTGAAATCATTATTTGGTTAATTTGTTTAGGACTGTAGGTCAAATTTGACTTTTACACTCTACAGGGTGTTTTATAATGGGAATCACAAGGGGACATTTACAGCATGCACATACATGCATTGCAATATGCTTAAAGTATGTATGTAATGACATCGCACAGTGATATAATGCATACTACATTTTGTTTGTAGGTGGAGTGATTGAGCAGTGCTGAAGTACAAACTCATGGCTAACATTACTAAAAACACTCTTGATGCTCTGAACACCATCTTTGTCCTGACCAGCATGGATCTGCCTCGTGAAGGAGCCTATGCAATAATCATTATTGCTCTTCCTGCTTATATATTCTCAGTGGTGTGTAATTTGCTTCTAATTGGAACAGTTGTATCAAACAGGACCTTACATGAGCCAATGTATATACTACTATGCAATCTCTCATTCAATGACATTGTTGGCATAAGCGCTCTGGTTCCAAGGACTGTTTTTGACATTATGTTTGACTACGGCCTCATCACTTTCCCAGCCTGCTTCCTTCAAGCCTGGTGCTTGCACACTTATGGTGGAGCTACCGTACTTATCCTATCTGTCATGGCATTTGATCGCTATGTTGCCATTTGTCACCCTTTAAGGTATCACACAATCATGTCCAAAGCTACTCTAATACATCTGATAAGTTCCACCTGGTTCTTAGCTTTCTTCGTCTGTGCCGTCCTGTTTGGTATCACCTTAGTGTACCCTATCTGTAGAAAAGAGATTCCGTCCTATTACTGTGACAATCTGACTATGCTGAAGTTGACCTGTGCTGCTGACATTACAGTGAGTAACATCTACGGCCTGTTCATAACTGCAGCTTTTCATGCTGTTGGTATTTTTTCCATTGTGTTCACCTATGCTTGTATTTTAATAACATGCTGTAAGAGCACTGACTCTGAGTCGAAGTCAAAGGCCTGGCATACCTGTGGCACCCACCTGACTGTCTTTGTTATTTTTGAGATGTCCTGTGCTGCTCTTGTTCTGCTTCACAGAATACCAAGCATGCCAAACATTCTTCAGAAAATCCTGGGATTGGGATACGTGATTATCCCCAACTGTATAAATCCAGTTATTTATGGACTCAAAACAAAAGACATTAGAGTTAAGGTGAAAATTTTCAAGAACAGAATCATCGGCTTGAATAACCTAAAAATGTCTAAGCATGAATGTGTGAAGACTGTTTCTTCAGTTTGATCTTCAGAAACAAAATACAGTCATAAGCCAAATTTTGATTTTCTAAATGAAAATATGTGAACATATTCTTTACAGAGAACACTTCTGCACATTTTAGTTCACAATTACTGTTTTGTTGCCAAGTTTAACTTATTGGGGAAAAAAGTAAATATATAACATGGCCTGTGCAAAGGTTGTGGCACTTCTTATATTTTAAGCTTTTGTTTTTGTCAAGCTTAGCAAATAAATCTAAATTGTGCACTAAAATATGCAGAAATATACCATATTTAAATTTTTAATAGCATGTGCTCACTTATATTCACTTGGAAAACCAACAAAACATGTAAATTGGGCTCATTCAAACCTTTGCATACAGCTATATAAACAAATCAGACATTTCAACAAGTTCCCATATCAACAAAGTCCACAACCTGTACTTTTAATTCCTGATATTTAAACAGTTGTACAGTTGTTTGGGAGTAGGCTGGGGGCAGGGAGGTTGTTCTGCTTCTTCCTTTGAAATTTAATGAAGTTTGTTTAATGGCTGCTCTCTTAGCTGACTTTGTCCAGAGTATGTAATTGTGCTGTAGGAAATACTGTTCACATTAATATGCTACTTTGGAAATATAGCTGTGGAAAAGATAAGTAAATGGAAATGGTATAGCCTTCTGTAATACTACTGTAGTATATTAAGTGAAAACTATTAAAAATATAAAGGTTACTATCCATTTTTATGTATCTCATTTAAGTCTGTCCAAATGTCTTCTTATTTAATTTTATGTTTGTTTATATTTTGTTCGTAAACCCTGTGAGCACATGCTGCTAGAGTAAAATTAAATAGAAATAAACAAACAAAAAAACAAAACACAAACAAATAAAAAACAAACAAAAAAAGTGTTACTTGTTGCTATTGTTGTTATTAACCATCATTTACACCAGAAATGACATCACAAACAGAATCTTTACAACAACAGTCATATAAACAAATATTCTAAATGTATTTTTTTGGGTAGTGAATTAAAAAGTATTCAAAAATGAATAAAGTACTTAAAAACATTTGAATATGACACCATGAGGATCTAAAGCTGGTTAATAGTTTGCCCAGAAGAGGGAGACATTTCTCTTCTCACAGACAGAGATAAATGGAGCTTTTCAGTCCCTCAGCTTTTCTTCAGGAATTTACAGGCAAGTTAAGGAAACAGAACATCAGTCCCAAAATGGAGCGGTTGTAATTATGACCTCAGTCTCTGCCAGAAAATACAGAATGTCACAGACAAATGGTATTTTGTGGTGTATAATGTTCTATTAAAAACAAAAAGAATTCTTCATCTTACCCCACAAACAACAGTCTAAACTGATGAAGGAACAGTAAAACAGCTCCAGAAGTAAAGTGGAACAAGCTGCTAGCAAACAGACTGTGTCTTTAAAGGCTTTTTAAACCTCTAAATGGTTTAAGCTTTTGTGGAGGTGAGTTTGGCCCTGTCTTGAACTATGCTTGAACAATGCCAATTATGTTTCACTAATAAAAGTCCTATTTCATTCAGCTTTAAACTCAATCTTGGCCTGGAAACCTGGCCCTAAAAGTATTAACCTAAAACAACTTAAATACACCTTTTGTAATGAATTATTTGACAGGCATTAGGTACTGATTTGATATCATCGAACATCTATGTGACACAGCTCTGCTTTAGTTAATTGCACTTCCTAATAGCTGGATTGTGTAACTTTTTTTTTAATACAGTGACATAATTGATTTTTATTACGAGCAAGAAATAAATATATACACTGTTTTTTTGTAAACCATCTTTAATATCTTGACAAGTAATGAAAACAATACAAGGCATAGACCATCATGAGAATCTCAAGCCAATAAACAATTTGTCCATAAGATGGAGACATTTCTCTTCTCATAAAGAAGAGAATGGAGCTTCCTTGGCTTTCAGTTCCTCACATGTTCACCAGGCAATTATATGGCAGTACAGGAAAAGAGCTTTAGTCTCAAAAAGGAGCACTAAAATCATGTCCTCACATCCTCCCTCTGAAAATACATAATGATCAATAAATAGTAAAAAGGTATTTTGTTATATCATCTATTATAATGTTCTGGTACAATAAAGAATATAAAACACAATCAGTTAAGCCTAATCTTTGACTGCAGTGCCAATGTTGTTTCAGTCCCAATGAATTTAGGTGTAGACTTAATCTGGATCTGGGAAACAGGCCCTAAATGTACTTACCTAAAACACTCAAAATACAGTTTTTCAACTGCTGATTCAAACTTTAAATCCCACTATACAAGTGTGTTTAATTTATGATCATTTATTATATAAAATTAGTTGTGGAACCAGCATTGAAAAGGTATAATTATAAACAAAGCTATTATATTGTTAAAAGCTTACAGATTATATCAATATGTAATGCTGTAAATTAAGTTGTTGAAATACGAAGTCAAATTTGTAAAGATGTGTGTTTCTTTTACTAATTTGACCTGTTAAAATTTAAATCAACTTCTCGTAACTAATCCATTTGGTGCAGTTAGATTACTTTGCAGTCTAGGAACGGATGAACTCAGATATTTGTCATATGGATTCATATATTTTGCCTGTCACTTTAATTCCTGGCCTCATCTAAAGTAGACTGATGTTGCATTTATAGTACTCACTACTCATTCTGCTGAGTAGACTACAGAGCAGAACATATCTGGGTTGTTCAGTTAGGTTATTATTTAACGTTTGCATATTTCATGCATTTCTATGTACAAAGACCATCTGAATCACAGCTATCTAAAAATATAGTGGCACAGAGGTACCATGGAAATTCATACAAAACTCACAATATGAAATTTCACAATATTGAACCCTGTAGAGACAAAGTTATAAGAGCATTGGATATAAATTTCTGGCTTGACCCAACTCCAATCTGCTGACAAAAGCAACTTGCGAAGATATTAATTGGGAAATATAATAGATTTTCAGTTAAGGAGGAGATCAGTTTTTATCAATGCCTTGATTTGACAGATGTGTAGAAAATAACAAAATAAATAACACAATCCTTTTAAACCAAGCAATTCTCTTGCAACATTTTAGTTAAAAAGCAAAATAACATTGTTAATTATAACAGATTATGAGGGATTAACCCTTTGCTGAAAAAACTTCAAAGCTTTGGTCCTGATTTCCTTCGTTCTCAGGCCATATATGAGTGGATTCAACGTCGGAGGCAAAATCATAGCAGCCACTCCAATGAATTTTCGTAAATGAGGGGAAATATTAGTTAACCTGTAGGAAATAACAGTGAAAAGGCCTAAACACTCAAAAATGAGAAAGACTATTAAGTGTGTGGCACAGGTTTGGAGCGCCTTGCTGCGTGTGTCTGACCTTTTGTTCCTGAAGCAGGCAATAAGAATCTGGAGGTATGTAAACACAATTAGACCTACTGTTAAGACCTGACAAACAGCGACTGTCATTAGGCCATATATGTTATTAATAGCTGTGTTTACACAGACCAGCTGGAGAAGAGAAGGGTTGTCACAATATGTGTTTGTGATGAGGGACCTGCACCGCGGTAAGCGCAGTAAGAGGATAAAGAGCACAGCTATCATAAGTATGTTAGACAGCCAGACCAAAGAGATGATTTTCATTAAGTGTGTGTTACTCATGATTGTGTTGTATCTCATTGGCTGACAAATAGCCACGTATCTATCATACGCCATGGCAGTCAAAATGAACACTGCACCTGTTGCATAGATGTGTATGAAGAAAGCTTGAGTAACACAGGTTGAAAACTGGATGGTCCTCGTTTCTAAAAAGAGGTCCTTGATAATCTGTGGGAACAGGGCCGTAGAGCCGAGGAGGTCATTAATAGGCAGGTTCAGCAGGAGAAGGTACATAGGCTCATGGAGGCTCTTATTCAGAATGATGGTGATCAGAAGGAGGAGGTTGCAGAAGAGAATGATAATGTATCCCAGTGTTGCGAAAAAGAATGCAGGGGGGATGTTCTCAGGAGACAAATCAAAGCCTTGCAGTGTCAAAGTGGATGATACGTATGATACGTTTGAGAAGTTGTTCATTGTTAAAACGTTGTTTGGGCTGTCGAGAGACAATGCAGATGGTTATAATCAGCTTCTCATTCTAATAAAAAATGCATATATTCAAAATTTATAGTCAAATTTTACTGTTTATTACATGGAATGCTTTTGCTTTTTTACTTCTAACAGTGATACGTCTTACTTTAAATAAACGACAAATGTACTAGTAGTAGTACAGTGCAAAATGAACTACCAATACAACAAGAACAACCTATTCAGTTTTTTCAGTTTTTTTACGAACCTCTTCCAGTTAAATCTGATTAGACAATGTAACATAAGACAACAAGAAGCTCAACGTAATTTATTCATTTAACAGTAAATACTCACCCTCGAAACCTTGATATCTAGACCTTGGTATAATGTCTGCCATTGTAGTGATGAGCCTGAAGTTCTTTTTGGAAGTTCAATCTGAAGTGCATCCTACATGCGTTTGCTGTTAAAGCACAGGACTAACTTCTAACACGATAAGTGCCGATGCTTTATAGTGTTCGGAAAACAAGTTGTGTAACAAGGGGCTTAAAGGTAAGATTTCTCAGGAGAGGATGGGCAGAAAAGTCTCTGTTTACCATCACATACTTTGTAATTTTATCTACTATAACTAAGAGAGTTGTATGAAAAACAGAAATGTGTTTCTTGAATTAATGACAGACTATAACTTCAAAAATAAACACGTTGTTGTTGCTTTCTTTTTCCTTTTTTTTTTTGTATTTTGATTAATGTGCACTGGAATGCTATGGCTGTCCAGCCCAGGTTTGAATGATTGGTGATGACTAAGTAAGCAGCGAACCGTAGAGTCCCATATGAGGTCAGGTACCCCTCGGGTACCAAGCATTAAACTTAAAAATCTGACATAATGGGTCTCATTAATATAATTGTTCATTTACATGGCCTCTTTAGGTTGTAATGTCTGGAAACTGTCACATCACCAAATCATAACTACCAGATGTTTGTGTTTGAGCAGTAACCAAACAAACAAACTAACAACTGACCTGCCAGGTCATTACCCATAAGCTCAATGCACATTATGACACAGGAATGGTGTCATTCATTTTGTGATAAGCACATAATCACAATTATTTGAGTTTTTTTGTTTGTTTGTTTTTTGTTTTGTGTGGCAACAAATTAATTGTTTTGTCTGTTTTTTTGCCGGGTTGAGGCGTAGTTTTTACCCCGACTGAAAGACTACTGGAACTTCAAAATCTACACACATTGACATACAGTGGGATTTCACTGTTTTTTGTTTTTTTTTCTTTTTTTTACTGAATCATTCAGTGGTTGAGGTGTAAACAAAGTCAATCAGAGAGGTTTAACCATCATGTTAAATGTAATGTTAAATGTAATGTTAATAGTGTTATTTGTTTTGGGGACTGTTTTTACCTTACAACATCATGCATGTACCTCTCTGCCACAAATAAATTATGTCTACATGGTCCCCCACACAAATATTGGCACCCCTGGTAAACATGAGAAAAACCGGCTGTAAAAAAAACATTTTTTACTGATTTTTCATTTCATCTTTCATTATTATTATTTGAAGTACAACGATTGAAAAAAATCACCCGAAACCTTCTCAGGAAATAAATATTTTTTACAAGGTTGCAGAAGAGAATAATCATGTAGCTTAGTGTTGCAAAGAAGAATGCAGGAAGACTGCTCTCTGGAGGCAAATCAAAGCCTTGCAGTTTCACAATTATTGGCACCTTTCATTTAATACTTTTTGCAGCCTCCCTTTGCAAAGACAACAGCTTTGAGTCTTCTCCTATAATGCTTAATGAGACTGAAGCTCACATGGCAAATTATGTGAAACCACACCCCCATTTGTGACCATGCCAAACACATCTCTTGTGTTTGTTGCCAAAAAGCTCTATTTTGGTCTCGTCTGACCACACAACATGGTCCCACAGAAAGTTCCAGTAAGGAGCTTGAGTTTGCTGGTCCTGGTCAACAGGACAACTTGTGGTTATGTAGGAGTCTGATTGTAGTTTAGGAGATATTCTGACCCCAAGAACTAATGTCTGCAATTCCCCATCTGAGATCCTTGGATATTTTTTTCGTCCACTTAAACCATCCTCTTCACTGTGCGTAGGGTCAGCATAGACATACATCCTCTTCCTGGCAGTCAACAACTGTGGCACACACAGATTTAAGAACAATATTTATTTCATAACAAGCTTTAGTTTTTCAATCACTAAAATTAAAGAAACACTGGATTTTTGCTAATATTTTGAATGAAAGATCAAAAGGATAAGTAATTAAATGCCATTAGAAAGATGTTTCTTCTTAATTCCATCAAGTGTTTCTTGGTTGTGCAAACTGACTTATTAGCCATAGATATTGGCTATATTACACCAGTGCTGAAGTATCCATACCTGTGTGGCACGCTGGACTTACCCTATCCTTATCAACAAAGGTGGAATGTGTGCAAAGGAGGTCATGTCACATAATTGTTGGAGCATCTTATGTCAGTTACCAGCATGCCCTCGGCACCCTGGGCATCCTCTCCTTTGAGGAAAGGCATGAACAAATTTTTCTAAAGCTTAAAATTTCAGACTTGCTTTCCACCTTTTAGAACATATAATCAGAAAGGACCACACACAACTGCAGTTATCCTAATATTCCATTGCAGAGTACTGACCGTTATTAAAATTCCTCTATCCCCTGTCTTCCACGACCTATTAATAAACATGCATTATATACAGATTCTGATTTTTGATAATTGTATTTGTTTGAGATTTGTCGAAGTTGGCTAGAGCTTTGGAGTGGCAGCTAGCAAAACACCAAACCTTTTGAGCTTCTAGCTGGTTATCTATCACCATGCTGAGTTTGGCTCCAACTTTAATCTGCATCTGATGAAGGCCTTCAGGAGCATCTGAATATTACAGTCCAGGTGTCCAGGGATGCAGCTCACCAGACTTGAAATTTGATCACTGTATACACACCTGCTAATTCCTGTTTACTTCACATGCAAGTTTTTTAAGGGTAGGTTCTTCAGAGAACCAAACTAGTTCTTCTATCATAGTGTTTCTCAACCTGGGTCCTGAAGGCCCAAAGTCACATTTTTTGTGCTTTTGCTGCTATAATACAGCCACTTTAACTCAGTAATGGACTGTTAATAAGCTGATTTGTTGGATCAGGTATGTTGGTGCAAGTGAAAACATTAAAAAGTACAAGGCAGTGGCACTCCAGGACCATGGTTGAGAGCCACTGTTCTATGGCATTGTTTTGGAGAACTATTTTTGTTTCTGTATGTAGTGTAGATGAGTGTACAAGAGTGTAGATGTACAGCAGGTCGGGGCATTAAACAGTACAATAAAAAGACATTGTTGTCAGATGCCCTGGCTTTACTGGTGTGTGCAACTATCTATTTCAAAAAGCCCATCCTGACATTTAATATTTCTTCTGTTTACGTATGCACACACTGTTAAATCTGTGTCAAAAAGCCCTCATCCTAACTTTTTGATTAGGTAAAGCGCTGGATAGGCAAAATAGTTTATTGGTTTAATTGTTCTTATAGATGTTATACTTTATTGATCCTACAAATAGAAATTTGCTGCTTTAACTATGCCCAGTCTGGGAGCAGCACAGCATCACCAGCAGAGTAGCACTGCCTTGGGCTGTGGGGGGTCAAAGGGGACTTCCATCATAGTGAGTAATTCAATGTCGTTTGATGTGAAACAATTTATTGTAAAACAGTGTCTCAGGCATCATGCAGTGTATTTATTCTCACTTCATGTAATAACTTTTTCTAAGGTAGCTTTTAAAGGCATTGTATGCTTTGGGCATCTGGTTACTATCATTACTTCTGCAAAAAAAAAATTGACTCTATTTCCTCTAGAATGGAGCATTTTCACATCAAACCTCTCTGAATTTGTGTCTTTATTTATTCCCCTTTAAGGAATACCCAGTCAGTCCTAAACCCATCACCTGCCAGTTTCTGGCCTGCCTCTCCTGCCACTGAGTTATAGGCCATATCAAAATAGCTAATGTTTACAGGGTTTGTTGTGCTTTTTTTTGCTGTGCCTTTGAAAAGAATCTTATATATGTCCTTGGTATTTAATCTTACTGTGAATTAACATGAATCATTGCATCACTTGTTGCCTTTGGAAAGGAAGGCTGTGGTGAAACCAGCAGACTACACAGCAGACAATCTGAAATCATGAGAAAAGCAGCTGCACTTTACTGGACAAACTGCAAATTCCAGTGGAGAAGGCTGTGTTCTGTGTGCCTTTGTGAAAAACCCACCTCACGCTACTGGTACAAAATGTCATTCTCTACAAGTGAATTCAGATTATTTAAATTAACAAATTAACACAGCTATTTCTAAATGATATGAATGCAAAACTCAAGATAACTAGTATGTTTTGATAAGCGTCAATGAATAAATAGATAAGGGTTTATGAAAAAAATTATATATTTTTTTGCACAGTATTATACGTGTCATTAGTGAAAAGCAAACTAAAATGGCACTTTGTGTGTTTAGACTTTTGTTTTAAGCCTGCAAGTCTTTCCTTTTTGTTTTCAAATCTTTTGTTTCTGTTGATAAGGCCAGTGTTGTTTCCTCAAATTAAGAATGAAGGCCGCCAAAATGCCTAATTCTCAACAAGGCATTTGTTCCTGAAAGACGTTTTTTCTCTACCTTATTATATCTCAAACTGGCACCTACTGTATATTTTCTAGAACAATATTATAAAATCTCTATGCATTTTGGGTACTGGGTTTCTCTAAAAATCGAGAACTTTCAACCAGCAAAATGACTGCTCTATCCTGACATTAAGAAAGATAATTGGTGTGGTATACTGGTGAAAAAGTCTTTCACCATATAAAGTACTGGTTAACTGCAGTTCTGAGCATGAGCACAACTAAATAATGCTTATAAGTTGAAATCCTGCAGCATTAGCATTGTCAACATCTCTCTTGCTTTTACCATAGATCTCTACTAGCTGTCACTAGATGAGACAATTTAAATTTTGATTTAATCGTTTAAAAAATCATCTATACAGGAACACCTAATAAATGATTAAATGCAAATATTGTCAGTTTCTGAGGTATTGCCAAATACCAAAATATTTGCAAATGTGACTATTCCAACTGTTGGGAAGGTACATTTTCCAGATATCTTATTATAAGCTATTGATTAGAACTGTATCAGAAATATAATATAAATAAGGATATTGAGTAAAACACTGCACTTATTATATAGCACGCCCACTTTGCCAGACAATCATTGCAAGTTTATATTACTATATGTGAGAAATAGAGATGATCTGGAATTATCAACACAATTATTAAGATGTTAGGGGAACATCTTGATCATATGGTTTTATTTTTTAAATAAATATAAGATCAACATGTTACAGTAAAGTTAACTTACCTTGGCAGAGTACATTTTGGCCATTTAGAGGGATGTGAATAGGACACTAAACAAATCTGTGGCTTTCTGGATCATCTCAAACCACTTTTTGATCAGGAGGGAAAAACATTTTGCTGAAAAAGCTTTACGATTTTGGTTCGGATTTCTTTCGTTTTAAGGCCATAGATGATTGGGTTCAGTGTTGGAGGAAAAATCAGAGTGGATACCCCTATAAAACGTCTTGAGAGTGCAGACAGGTTTTGCAGTCTGTATGATATGATCGTAAAAAGTCCCAAACACTCTAAAAGGAGAAAGACGATTAAATGTGTGGCACATGTCTGCAGAGCTTTGCTTCTTGTGTCAGACCTTTTGTTTCTGAAACAGGCCACAAGAATCTGAAGATACGAATAGAATATAAGTCCAAGCGAAATCACCTGAGTGAGGGCCGTGACAAGGAGCCCGTAGATATTGTTTATAGTTGTATCTGCACAGACTAACTGCAGAAGAGAAGGGTTGTCACAGTATGAGTGAGTCAACTGAGATCTGCATCGAGGCAAACGCAGGAGGAGGTAAAACAGGATGGTCATTAAAATAAAATTGAAAATCCATACAACTGAGATTATTTTCATAATGTGGGCATTAGTCATAACAGTGTTATACCTTAGAGGGATGCATATGGCCAGATATCTGTCATATGCCATAGCAGCCAAAATGAACACCGCACCCCCTCCATACACATGTATAAAGAAAGCTTGAGTAACACAGGTTGAAAACTCTATAGTCTCGGTGTCCAGCAAGAGTTCCTTAATAATTTGAGGGAACAAGGCCGTGGAGCCAAGGAGGTCATTAATAGGCAGGTTTAACAGGAGAAGGTACATGGGCTCATGGAGACTCTTATTCATAATGATGGTGATCAAGAGCACAAGGTTGCAGAAGAGAATAATCATGTAGCTTAGTGTTGCAAAGAAGAATGCAGGAAGACTGCTCTCTGAAGGCAAATCAAAGCCTTGCAGTTTCAGAACTGATGATATGTTGTAGAGGTTCCCAACTGATGCCATGACTGTGGGTTTCAGCTGGAACAATGAACATCAAAAACAAAAAAGTAGAAAATTATATATTGAGCAATACAAATAAATATAGTAATTGATTACATGGGCACCAAGTTCTGCTGTCAAATGAACAAAATTCATATTTGTTACATGTTCAAGTTCTGTTCATTTTATCCTTTGTAATCATCTCATTTTTAACAAAATATTGTACAGCAAAAAAGAAAGAAATACGTACTTTTTAATATTAACTTTCTTCGCTCACCTGCTTTCACTGTTTGTACACTGTATGAACAACGTAATAGCATAACAAAAAAATATCGGTTAAAAAAATCATTGCTGTTGTAATGCAAAGTTTTGTTATTACTACATTTCTTGACAATGATGGACTCTAAAGAACACAAGAAACCAACCAGGTGGGGGCTGCTGCTGCTGAGATTTTATAGATGCTGTTGCATTTGTTTTTGAAAGGATTATTTTCTCTAGAGGAAACTGGAAGAAATATGATGTAATTGGTACTGTCAGTAAGTCACCATGCTAACACACAGATCATTTACAGTGGTACAAAACACACATGGCACATTGTTACAGTCAATGATAAAAATATTTTAGCAGAACACGCTACTAATTATGAATATGATGGTAGCTGACCAGAATGACCAACGAATGCAATAACTGTTGTGGCATAAATAAAGAAATGATCAGATAGTAAATATATGTTAGAAACACTTGTAACATACAAAGAAGGCTGGTGATTATAAAAACATTTATTGATGGATTTCATAAGAATGATTTACAACACATGGCGCTGCCGACTAAACTGACTAATGCACCAAGTGATAAAATTGTCTATTTTGATAATTATTCATAAACTATTTACAGTCTTTTTTGTGTGAAGGAACATGGCAATATTTGGAAACAACTGACAGCTTTTATTAATAACTCGGTTCTTCTGTCTACAATATGTCATACTTTATAATACTACTGGGCAAACACATGTTCTCAAATACAGATGAAAGGTGGTGAAGTTTGCTGTTAGGATACCTGCTTGGCTAAGCCCTGCTGCACACTGCCAGAAACAGCCATGTAGCACATCATCACTCACCATGTCTTAGTTTGTAATGACAAAATGAGATTTTATCAAAAAGTTACTCTCAAAAATACACTGACTGGCAACTTTTTCTTTGAGTTTAGATACAAGGTATGTATACAATGTCCATTTAACCAGGTACACTTACTATATACAGTAGATCCATCTGTTCCTCTGCTTACTTTATCAGCCCCTTTTAAAAATGGTCAGGACCCCCACAGGACTAGCATAGAGCAAGCATTATTTAGATGGTGGATTATCGTAACTATGAATTATGAACGTGTGTGTGTGTGTGTGGTGGGGGGGGGCACCCCACTTCTTGACAAAAGTCCTGGGCTGAACACACACACACACACACACACACACACACACACACACACACACATTATTTAAGCCACTTATCCTTCTGTGTCACGGATGGTGCTGGAGCCTATCCCAGTGATCAATGAGAGAGGGCAGGAAACACCGTGGACAGCATATCTTCTTAAATTTGCCTTTAAATACACTTCCATATAACCTTATACCCATATGTTTTATACCAAAATGCTCTGTTATCTTTTTTGCTACTTTCCAGTGCAGTGACTTAAGTGGCTGTAAACGTTTTGCATACCATTTCACATTCGTCTCCAACGTTGACTGCATAAGCAATGCAGTTTCTGACGTGATGGGTAACTCCTTCCTGTGATTTTCCTGAGTGTCCATTGGTTAGTTTCACACAAAATGTAGACGGACATACAAATCCACCAATTACACATGGTGAGGGGTAGATGATGTGTTTCTCAACCCCTCTTCTTGGCCTTATAACTATGGATGTGTGTCTTCTATGATCCCATGATAAGATGGAATGGAACATTGACTCTACATATTCAGGAAACATTTGAATCATATTTCTGTGCTGTATTAACTCAAGCACATTAGAGAAACATATGTAGAAACATCGAATTTGACACACAGGTGTGTTCATGGACCCCAGAGGGTTAAACACTCTATACATTTACATATACATTTACTATCCACTCTATTAGACATGCCTACCTTGTAGGCCCATCTTGCAGATGTAAAATCAATAGTTGCATTTATTGCTGCACAGTTTATGTTAGTCATCCTCTACTCCAGTGTTTCTCGACTCTCATCCTGGAGGTCCACCGCCCTGCACATTTTGGTGCTTTTCCTGCCACTTTAACTCAATAATGGACTGTTAATGAGCTGATGACCTAGATCAAGCGTGTTGAGAATAGGGAAAAAACTAAACAGTGCAGGGCAGTGGGACAAGGTTAAGAACCTCTGCTCTAGTCCATTTCTGCCCACAAGATGCTCTTGGGTGGATACTATAGTGTCCCCCAAGGGGAACTCAGGGTGTTTGGCCATGCAAAGTGTCTCCTGAGAGGCACCACGCTCCTGGTTGAAAAAGATTTATTGTAGTAGTTGTTATTGTCGATGTTATTAGCACAGTAGCTGTTGTTTATGGAGTTGTGTCCGAGTGTGTCTGTCTACTCTCCTCATGTGTCGTATCCTTCCGTGTTCCATGTACTTTTTTTAAAAAAACCTATCACTAATGTTTGCATGTACCTGATTAGATGAATCAGGTCTCTTGTATTAAGACTGGAACTAAACTCTGTAGGATGAGTAGATCACCAGGAGCAGGTTTAGGCATTCCTGTTCTAAGCTCATAAATGTTTATTTTTTTCTTATTGGTGCCTCAAACATTTTTGCCAAAAGCACCTTACCAAAGTACGTCATTAAAGCATTGGGATCATTGTGGCCTTGCAGTACACTTTATGGCCACTGTGTGTCATGCACATCTCACATCATGTGCAATGGAGGGAAAGGCTGGCAAATGGAAGCTCCAGACAAATGGGTTAGCACAGGGTGAGGTGGTGGGATTGCAAAATAAAAACGTATCGAGTCTAAACTCAGGAGAGCATCTAAAAATTTAAAAATGTCTTCTGGGTGTATGAGTATGTGTGGCGCAGAGGGGAGCGGAGCCATGTGATTTTGCTTCTGCTTGACATGAGTGATGCATAAGTGACTACTACAGCTGGCACATGATGGCCATTCTGCTTGCGTAGCGGTCATCCATTTTGCTGCATGAATGATGAAGATGATGGTATTAAAAGCAGTTGTGTTTGTTCACTCTCAACAGGTTTTCTGCTTGTGGTTGGGCCATCACTTCAAGCCTAAACCCACCAAAAAAGTCTGTGTAGCACAGAATGTTTAACTAGTTTTTTGTTTAATAACATAAAAATTATATAATGAATTAAATAAAGTGTGTAGGGCCTTGTCTACACATTCAAGACATAAAATAAATATCTCTGATGTGTAAGTGAGGAGCAAGGCAGGAGTGGGAAACAGAAATCCCAGAGCAGAGCCGGTGCGGTGTGATTACAGAACACTTTGAGTGAGGAGCAGAAATGTCTGCCGCTCCCCTCCATACACATACTCGGATTTCTGGAAATATGCACCTTATGGTTGCATATGGAAGACGTATGCATGAATTTTATTATTATGTTGATGTTATACCTTGTTTTCATTGCAGTCCAACAAGCTTCAGGCTCACAACATTCTGGAGAATGGATTTCTTTTTAGGACATCTAGCTAGGGCTTGTTCATTGTGGGTGAATTCAGAAATTCAATTAAAAAGGTTGTGTTTACCAAATGTCCACAACACACTAAACAACACATTTTTTATACTTATACATTTTAGGACACTTTTCAATAATATCCCTTTGAACACCTCAGTTCTACAAAGATGTGAAGTATGTGAAATGCACAAAAAACAGAAAGCTGTAGTTTTAGAATTTACTTTAAACTAAATCCGACCCAAAAAAAACTACAGTCAAAAGATAATGTTTTACCTCATCGACTACACTGATTTCTACAAAAACGTATGCTCATTCTGAAATTGATGCCTGTAACACATTTAAAAAAGCTACCATCAGTAGAGTAACATTATCTTTAATAAGGACAATAGAGTTTAAATATTCTACAATAAAGATACTGTAATCGATCTTTTACTGGAATGTACAATACATTTGAAGAATGAAGTCTACACAAAATACAAATGTTTAATTTCACAGAACTGTTGACTATTATGCATACTCATGAAGAATAACCTTTGATGTGCTAACAAGACACATTTAGATGAATGCAACCTTTTGTTTTTTCAACATCACAAAGAATGCATTTCTAATTTCTTTTGTTTTCATTCCATATATAATTGGATTAACAACTGGAAGGATGGTAAAAATCATCATGCCACAAAGTTTTTGGGCATTGGGAGGTATATTCTGAAACCGATATGAGAGTATAGTAAAGGTACTGACTATTTCAAAGAGACAAAATGTAATTATCTGTGCTAAACAGGTATTTACAGCCTTAATTCTAGCCTCTGATTGTGCATGGGAAATGCAGGTGATGAGGATTTGTATGTAGGAGAATAACTGAATAGCCACACTTATAGCCTGCATAAATCCTGTCATAGCCAACCCATAAATATTGTTTACAGTAGTATCCCCCCCGCATGAGAGTAGGACTAAGGCAGAATTATTACAGTACACATTAACAATAAATGTCTTGCACTTTGGCATTCTGGCCTGAAGGGCAAACAGCACAAGCACCAAGGCAATATCAAGACCCCAAACCAACGACATAATGCAACAAAGTGTAAAAGGTGTCATTATAGAATTATATCTGAGTGGTTTGCATATAGCAATGTAGCGGTCAAATGACATAGCTGCCAGGATAAAAAGCACACTTCCCCCGTACAAATGCAGTAAAAATCCCTGCATGACACATGTTGGATAATAAACAAAGTTTGTTTGTGTTATAATATCCACGAGCACTCTGGGAAGAGCACATGTGATTCCTAATAAGTCTGTCAAGGGAAGGCTAAATAGAATATAAAACATTGGCTTATGAAGGCTTCGCTGGGTCACTATCAGTGCTAGAATTGTTACATTGCACAACACAGCAAACAAGTAGATGAGAGCTCCAGTGAAAAAGACCGGATATATGGCTTCAGGAGGAACATCAAATTTGGCAATTTGAAGATTGAAAGTAAAGGTGTTATTTAAAAGCTGGACCGCCATTAAAAATTTTGTGAGAGAAAAAAAGTTATTCATCCAGGAGTATAAAAAAGCTTATTTCTTTGTCCTTAAGTATTGGCTTCTTCACAATATCAATTCTATTTGCATATCAAATCTCAAACTTTTGTTTCCCTATTTTAAATTTATTGTGGCATTATCCTTTGGTTTATAATTTCATTCTGTCTACTCCAGTTGATTATTTTGCAGCTGAAGCCTTGAAAGATGCAGTTCCTTCAACTGTCTCTCTTAGGGAGCAAAGTATGCCACATTTATATACATATTCAAGTCCTCCCAAGACTATGCCTACATGTCACCAGAGGATTTCCAGCAATGTTTGAAACATGGCTGAGCTGATCTGAAACTTTATCTGTACATTTGGTAATAATAAGTTTGTGTCCATGCATTATTTGAAACTTATGACATGACTGAAAGAACACTTACTGGGGTCAGAAGAAATTACAATGTTAACATTTAAGATAATCACTGATGCTTTTTCTTCATACAGTGCTGTTTTATTACAACACTTTGCTCTAGCATCAGAAAAATTGCACATTAGAATAAAACAGTTTGTGAAATTAACCATGCCTTTCTGATGGTGGTGGTCCGATAGTTGGTCAGCTAGCTGTGCAAGCTTGTCCACTATTACTGCACAGTTCTTTTCAGCAGGACTTTCTCTGCGAAGAGACGCCATATCTAGCCTTACAAGCTTTCTCATTTATATTTTAACCAGTGACCGGTCCACTAATTTTTAACATCTCTGGTGCAGTGAATGGAAATGCTCTATATCAATATCAGACAAAAACAATGTGGTTCCATGATTGTCTTCATTGCAAACAATAATAATTTACTAGTTACATATTGCACCCACCAAGCTATTCAAGAAAGATATTTGTGAAAATGAAATATTTCAATTAGCAGTACCATTAAAGCACTGATTTCCAGTAACTTTAGCTAAGTTAATTCACGAGTAGCATATTTTACATTTAAATCCAAGAATTTTACTGGGAGTTTACAAGTTTGTCAATGATGTGACTGGAGGTGGCGAGTGCTGGGCATGGGGGCACATAAGGGGCCAATCAGATTTCTTCTGGGGCCAGTTCCCCTCTAGCCCCACCCCTAGATCAACCCCAAAACAGAGCTGAATGCTGTGGTTGCCTCTGTTTGTACATGTCCTGGATGTCATAAGGCAATTTACAAATGAAAGAATAGCTAAGATAACAACTATACAATGTCTTCTGTACTTTATTAAACACTACTTGAATAATTACTAATAGCAAAAACATTAATGAGCTGTACTGGGACGAAATATCCAACAGTGCTGAAGACTCCGGAATATTCTCCTAGATCCTTAACCAAAACTCATACACACCTTACCCCTACTCAAAGTCACACCCAAAACTATTTACTGCATACATGGGAGTATGCACTCATTCAAAGAAAGATCTTAGATTTTTGCAAGCAATTTCTGTACTCTGCCACTCCCTTATCACAGTACAAAAGAGGCATGATGATCCATGACATTGCTCCCCTCTTAACTCAATCATTGGTTTTTTAGACAGATAGTTTACAGTGCATTTTAGCATCAAAAGGCTGAATAGCTTAGAACCACCTGGTAATCCTAGCATTAGTGTTCGCAGTGTTACTAAGCCATACCAGGGCTCAGTGGACAGTTTCCAATGTAAATCTGTGATCCATTAGATAATACTTAGGACCCCAGTATCCACTTCACTGTGAAGCATTCTTTCTCCACGGTTGTGTAGTTGTGTGTTTTCTGGGGCAACAACTTTCAACAAATGCCTTTCAACAAGGCTCTTCCCTCTTATTTCCCTGGATAAGTACTGCACCCAGTGCCTTCTTGCATGCATCAGTCTGCACAATAAAAGTCCATTCAACATCTAGGCTGTACAGTACTGGCTCCTTACATATGGAGCATCTTTATATCTAAAACAGTCCTCAGTCCAGTGTACCTTTTTGAGACATGATTAGTGGTCCAGGTCGGTCAACAAAGCTGCTCGGCTGAAAGGTTTGGCATGAATCGGTGATACCACCCCAGTAACTCAAAGCAGGACCTTACCTGTTTTTTGGTGGTGGAGTGGTCTGCTGCCATTATGGCTTCCACTTTCCCCACCATTGACATCCCATGACATCACCCAGATAAGAAGCCTCTTCTCAAGCCAAAGTGCACATGTCTGGGTGAACAAACAACCCTACATCCTTTATCAGAGTCAACATATGTTCCAGATGTTGCAGGTTCTTCCCCCACTGCTGCTGTGCACAATTAAATTATCTGGCAGGCAGCCAAAAGGACTTCTGTGCCCTATGGGATTCCAATGCATCAATATCTGGAAAGTTGCTGGTGCCCCTGACAGGCCAAAAGGCATAACCTTCAAGTGGGAGTGACCAAATGGAGTACAAAAGGCTGCCATTTCCTTGCTGTCTGCACCAAAAGGAACCTGCCAATACCCTTTGCATAGATTGTATCACTATAAATTTGCCACTATAAGTATGTCAACCTTTTGCATGGGGTACTGGTCAAACTGGGAAATAAAGTCGATGTTTTGTAGGTCCAAGCAAAAACAGATACTTATGTCCTTTTTAGGGACCAGGAGGATAGTGTTACTCCATTCAAAGATTCCCTACAATGGTCAAACCAAAAACAGCCACCACCCAGCCACAGCATGACATCACAAAGGAAGGCCAAGAGAAGAGGAATTGCACAAGTGAAGAGGAATTGCCGCCTACTGAAGGAAGATATTGCACATAAGTAGGCTGGGAGAAACAAGGCACAGGTGAACATTATCAACTACTTGGCCCACTGCTTCAGCCAGACCGGCTTCTCCGTCCCGCATTCGACGCTCGGCCATACCCCCTTCTCCACATACCCCCACCACCCGACGCAGGCTGGGCAGCCATCTGGCTGGTCCTCCCCCTCCACCACCTGGGACAAAACGGCTCCCAGCCCTCTGTCTGACGCGTCTGTCTGCAAAACAAAAGGGAGAGCAAAAAGTGGGATCATCCAAATAATTAGGTATGAACCTATGATAATAGCCAGCCAGCCCCAGGAACCGTCTCACCTCCTTTTTGGTCTTGGGTCTTGGACAGGTCGCAATTGCCACCGTCTTATCAATTTGGGAACGCACCTGTCCATGACCCAAGTGGAAGCCCAGATACTGTACCTCCACCCGTCCAATTGCACAATTCTATCCATGAGTCGCTGAAACGTGGCCGGTGCTGCGAATAACCTGAAAGGGAGGGTGATGAATTGGTGTAACCCAAACGGAGTGGAGAAAGACATTTTTTCTCGGGATACTGGGAGGCAGATCAAGGGGATCTGCCAGTAGCCCTTTGTCAAATCCAGTGTCAAGTAAAAATGAGCAGCACCTAACCGATCAAGCAGTTCATCAATACGCAGCATTGGATAGGCATCGAATTTAGATGCCACATTGACTTTTGACTGTGGTCCACACAGAAACAAACAGTCCTGTCAAGCTTGGGGACAAGCTCCAATCATTGTGGCACTCTTCGATTACCCCCATATCGAGCATAGCCTTAATTTCATCCTGAACCACCGTTTTTTTGTGCTCAGGCAAGCGAAAAGGCTGGCTGCATACAACCACGCCAGGAGGAGTTTCAATGTGGTGCTCTATGAGGTCAGTACGTCCAGGCAGAAGCGAAAACATGTTGGAAAACTCCATTTGTAACCTTGCCACCTCTGCTTTCTGGGACGGGGAGAGCTGGTCCCCACAGGGGACCGGAGTGTGTTTAAGTTTGGTTGGGACCTCTGGCTCCAACTCAGCTCTCTCGGGAACCACCGTCGCCAGAGAAACAGGGACCGCCTCCCTCCAAGTTTTAAGGAGACTGAGATGGTATACCTGAAGTGCTCCACCTCAGTCTGTCCATCTGACCTCATAGTCAACTTCTCCCACTCGCCGTGCGACCTCAAAGGCCACTTGGCAAGCAACTTGGGGAGTAAAACGAGTACTTTGTCTCCCGGTGAAAACCTATGTAGCCGAGCGCCCCTGTTGTAGGTGTGACTCTGACGTTCTTGAGCCTGGAGCAAATTCTGCTGAGTTGAGTGCCCCAGTGCTTGGAGTTTTGCTCTCAGGTCAAGAACATACTGAATTTCATTTTTGCTGTTTGAAGGTCCCTTCTCCCAGTACTCTTTAATGACGTCTAGGACGCCCCTGGGTTTCCTCCCAAGAATACCCAGAGGAGGCTTGCGGGACCTCTTGCACTGCGAACAGTGTCCCAGTTCTTAGCGTCCTTGTAAACGAACTTCTGAATCATATTTTTAAGGGGTTGGTTAAAGCATTCGACCAGTCATATAGTTCATGTAAGGTGTATGACGTGAACATTGTGCCCTGATCAGTCAGGATCTCTTTCGGGATCCTGACTCAGGAGATCACTTTGAAGAGTGCCTCTGCAACGGTACGTGCCGAAATGTTGCAAAGAGGCACTGCCTCTGGATATCGCATTGCATAATCAACTAAGACCAATACAAAGCAATACCCATGTGATGCCCGGCCTGTAGAAACGGACCATTAGACGATGAAGTGTCTTCTCTTCTCCCAGATGCCCTGCCATGGAATTATTATGAGCTGCATGGAATAACATTTCCCTACAGCTTTTCGGTACTAACAGCTGGGTTGAAACCTCCGAGGTTTGAGTGTCCCGCATCATTCTGTATAGTCTATCTTTAATGAGTGCAAAATGCAGATAGGACAGGGGCCATCCCGGCTTGAGTAACTGACCATCAATTGCTTTCACTTGGTCAAAGGCGTGCCTCAGCGCATCGTCACATGATTGCTGCAGAGGGAAATCCTCGAGGGGAGACAGGAGGGTAACCCCTGGAGGCGTGGACTGACTGTCAGGTTCGGCCATACCATCAGAGGAACTATCGCCTGCCCCCCCTCACTCAGGAGCCGTCACCGACAGGCACGGAAGCCTGCTTCTTTATAGTACTGCGGGACCCATCCTCTACCAAAGCTTTCACTAACACCCCA